TATTACATAATTTTTTATGCAAATATTACAACTTTACATATTAAAATTTATGGACGTAATATTACGGCGGGGAAAATTTCCTGACGTGGGGGACAAGGTCATAAGATTGATTGTTGATTTTTATTATTATTGTTGTTCTTGTGATTTATTTTTAGTTGTAAATTGTTGATTTATAATTAAACTAAATATGTTGTTAAGGTTGTTAAAGGTTTTGCTGATGGTATTAACCCGTTAGTATGTTATAAAGCAGTCCTTCTTTCTGTCGTCTCATTCCTCTCATGTTGATCTTCCCTAGATCGTTTTCCCTAAAGCGCCGTAAGGGTTCAAGTTATCCAATGTGTGCCATTTCGCACATTTCCATGGTTTTCTGCAGAGCGGATGCCCGTCCTTGTTCAAGAGGAATGGGCCTGTTTTTAGGCAATTTATGGGTAGTCTGGTAATGTGATCGTCAGATTCTACCCTTTTAATCTCCGTTGGTTTCAGTAATTAAGAGCGTGGGAAATTTCTTATAAAGTGAAATGCCAAATACCGCGCTGTCTTATTACAACAAGTTCTTAATATTAAGGATTAATTGTCAATAGAATTTTTTGTAATAAAATCAAAATGTGATGATGCAAATTATTACCAATTATACAAAAGTCTATCCTGTTCTGTTTCAGAATTATTTATTTACCAAACAATACTAAATAGGTTTATTATAAATACTCGCATATAATATTATGGATAAATTTTTCCTATGCCCTTTGCCTTCCCTTTAAAATAATTATAATTTTCACTAGTGATTTTTCCATTTATAAATAAAAATGGCTGGAAAAAATTTTGGTTCAATAGCATTTTTAATACTTTTTTATATAGTTCTTCTAAATTATCAACCTACAAATTCTTATAATATTACCACATATAATGATAGTGAAGCTGGTATTCGTGTATTTAATACATTATCTTATGGAGATGGGACCCTAGTTATTTATATGGTTAAATCTATTAATGAAACATGCATTGAACCAAAATTATATATTAGAGTTATTTATGCCAATGGAACAATAGAAACTTCCACCCAGATATATCCAATACCTGAATTCAATTTTTGTAAGAACACAATAGGGCTGATGGGGCCTATGTTTACTCTAACAATAAATAATCTACGACCAAAACATGCAATAATGATTTACATGAATTCTACTGATATAAATTCATCTGCCAATTATGGAATTTTGTTATCTATAAATGGAGAATTCATTAGGTAAAATAATTCATCATGATTGATTAAAACAAAAATTAACTTTTTTTTTGATTAAACTAATTTATTGATATGATACAGCAAATTTTATATAGACAAATCAAGTTCTATTAATGGTATACCTGATGGTCTATCTATGCTTATACAAAATGGGGATTTTATTGGGTATTGTTTGG